ATTAAGTTTAGACTGTTTTAGATTTCCTGTCCAAACAAGCTTCCCAGATAAATTACTGCTTATTTGTTTGAATTTATTAGTACAACCCTAAAACCAGTAACTAAGAGGTTTAAGAATACAAGGTCTGAATTTTTTTCTTCATATCTTAATCCCAGCATTTTTCTACTTTTTATTACATTCAATATGGCATAAGGATTTAGTTTTATATATATATTATATATATATATATATATATATATATATATATATATATATATATAAAACTTTTAGTCTACAAATTTCCAATCAAATTATCTTCAGAATCAGAAAAACTAAAAAGTTAGAGTTTTATAAAAAGGTATCTTCAAGATTCACTAAAAATGAAACATGATGAAAAAATGCCCCAAACATAAAAAAGTTTTATCAACAAAGCTTTTAAGTAAGAGGAAAGACCAAAATATTTTGTTTATTAAATTATATATATTTTTTTTTTTTTTTTTTTTTAACTTCAGAACCTTTGAAGTTTTAATTAAAAATTTTGTTTCTTTTTCATACATAATCACAAATTATTACAGGAAGTTTTAGTGTCTTTTGTGGTGCAAAAAGATATTTGGAAATTCTTCCAAAAATTGTCAGATTTTTATGAAACTGTCAGGACTTATTCACAAATTAAATTATTTTTGAATTTTTTTTTTTATATATATGTCTATTAACCCCCACTTATTTAATTTTTATCAGATTTCAAGAATTGTTTTTTGTAGGGTTTAATGTTTACATTAGTTATAAGTACTTAAAGAATTTAAATCAAAATATTTTTGTTTAAGCAGGATTTCCCAGTTACAAAAATTACACACACACAAAGAAAAAAAAAAGTAAAATGTATATTAAAAAATATATAAATATAAGACATTAAATTAGAAAAGCTTTTAATTGCTTTTATGCATAAAATATATTGACATCATTGTCTTAAGAAAAGTTTTTGTTAATGAATAAAGAATTTTTACAAGCATTTTCATTTTAAAACTTTAGTTAGAATAATTTAGTTAGTCTGTTAAGTGCCACATGCAATACATGCCTGGGTGATCATGTCTTTCGATACACAACTGACAAGGCAGAGTTTTTCCACAGTAGGTTACCATTTCTTTCTGTGGTTGACAATCACAGTTAAAGAACCCAGTCTATCCTGCTATTCAAGCCATAGCTGGAGGGGGGGGGGATAGAAGGGATGGTGTCATACTTTTCCCAAGAGTATTTATGCATAAGTGAAGCTAACAAACTTGACTGGAATTTGAACTTGGCTCTCAGAGTTTAATTTATAAACTTAAATTTCAGCATTAGTGGTCAAGTGATATTAAATTAAATTATTTACTAATTATAAATGGAAAACTAACAATTACCCCTACCCCAATATTCTAAAAAGAATAAAAATTTATTTTATGTGCATAAAAAAAAAAAAAAAAAAAAAAAAAAAAAAAAGTAAGTTTATTTTTCTAAGTATGGATGTCCTAACATAACTATCAGAAAATAAGAGCAGTAAAGTTATAATTTATTGGTAACTTTATAACATTTCCTCAACAAGCATCTTTGTAAGTTAGGCTATAAAGCCACAGTACCTAAAATTCAATATTAGATTGCTTAGAATATTTTCTAAATTTTGCAGTATTAGTAAAAAAAAAAAAAAAAAAAAAGTTTTTAAATCAGATTAACTTTAAAACAGCTAATATTCCTCAGATAAAATTTCAGAAAAGTATTTTATTTTTTAAAGACATTTTAATGACTATAATTACATTGTTTTGACAGATTTATCAGTAAGGACAATTTTAGTGCTTTTACTAACAGAAAAAAACAAAACTAATCCCAATCAATTAAAAAAAAATTCAGTTTGAATTACAGCAAAGTACTTCATTTAAATTTAATCTATCAGGTTGAAATTAAAACTAAAATAAAAGCTTCAAGTAAAACTTTTCATTTTCAAAATACATTTTAAACCTTATATTTTTTTCTTTGTTAATTTTTTCTTTGGAGATACCTATGTGAAAGAAATTTAAAAAAAAAAAAAATCCATATATATAAAAGCTAAGAATGGTGACATTTCATTGTCACTTGAGGGAAGCCATCTAGGAATATTCTCTTAACAAATGCAGAGTTTAAAGACCTATTGAAACCTGTAATAATATTCAGTCCTAGTCAGGTTTTTCATCACCTTGAGAGATGAAGACATTAGGATTTTGGATTCTCAACACTGGATCCTAGTCTAAGAAATATTAATTTTTAATCCTTACATAAAAATCAATAATTCTTCAAAAGGTAATTCATCATGGTTAAGTTCTAATAACACCAGTAGACTCTAGCATATTCTTTTATAAAGTTATTTTAGTTTGAATTATTGGGGAGAAATTAGCATTTTATAATGTTAACTAAAGATAATTTGGCTGCATATCTGATCATTATGCAGTCATGCTTAATGCATCTACAACAAAGTTATCTTACTCCTTCCTTACAAATCTATTAATGATTACAGTAGTACCACTAGTTGTGCATTTTTTTTGTAATATACATGGTTCTGCAGCTTTAGTTATTAGCTACTTTTTTTTTTTTTTTTTTTACCCGATTTCACTCTGAAGTCTCCAAATGTAGAGATACTAGCAAGTACTCTATGCTAGAGAAATACTACTAGTAGTTATTTACTAGCCACTAAATAACATTGCACAAAGTAACCCTGCTACACTTCAGTTAGAGAAGTCTAAGATTCTTAAGACAAATTTATTGTGTACTTTCCAGAAACTAAATACTTAAAATAATTATTTTAAAAAATAAAACTATCGCACAGAGGTACACAAACTAAATTCATTAACAAAGTTACAGTAGTATGTAAGTTAAGCAGTGGCAAATGTTGAATTAAAAAGTATAGAAGTCATTAGTGAGTTCAAAATGGTGCCACCTCCAAGAAATGATTCCTTGGGCATGTGTGCCACTTCAAAATCATCAGTGTGTACTGTTTATTAACTAAAACTTAAGTGAAAAAACAGAGACATTTTTTAATAAAATGATTTTATGATGAGTGGGAGGTGATATTTGAGAAAGTTTTTAAGTCTCTTCAACTTTTAACTGAGATGAAATAACATTTAGATTTGTATCTAGACAGAAATATTCCAAAAAGTCATTGAGGAAAAGATTGTCAAATGTCATTGGGTTGGGGTGTCTAGCGAAAGTCCTAACCAAGTAAAACAATTACGAGACAGGTGCTAAAGAAAAAGTTAGACCCAACCCTTTTCCAAAGAAAAGTTTCGCAAGAGATTCTTTATTAGACTGAAGTTTTCTCAGCACACCCTCATGAAAAAAAAAAAATCAACTCCGTCCATCAAAAAAATACAATTTAGGATTTTGCTAAAAATGGAAAAAATAATACCAGAGTTGTTCAATAAAAATTATACTGCTCTGATCTGTCCGTTAAATAAATTTAAAATAAATTTTTAATATTCAAATTTACAGTTGAACAAGTTTATTTATACCGGAAAAAAAAAAAAAAAAAAAAAAAAAAAAAAAAAAGTTGTTTCTCAGAGTCCAAACAATGAAAACTTAGTTTTTAATCCTAGTTTCAGGCGATTAGAACTTTAAGAAAAATAAAAGAATCAAAATAAAAGCAGGTAATTTAAACGATGCTGAACATTTTTGTTACAAAATTTATCATACAGTACAACCCCACATCTGATCATTCCATGTAACTCCAGTGTAAGTGCCATTTCTAAAACCCATGTAGATTTTATGAAGTTTTCTGTTTTACCAATAAATAAATCTAAATTTGCACAAAACAAAACTTTATATTTATTTATTTTTCTTTAAATCTTACAAGGAAAAATAAATTGGACATTGCAAAATACACAAAAACTGGTGTCAGTTATTTTACTTAATGAGAAGTTTACATATTTGCAGTTGCTATATATTGGAAATGGCATCCTTTGTAGTAGAAAGTTTAGATGAGAATAGAGTTTTTTTTTTTTTTTTAAATATTCAATGAAAATAGCACAATGAAAAATGATACATATCATTGGTTAAATAAATTAAAAAAAAAATTTTTTTAAGATATGGGTGTTGGTAGGGGGTAGGAAAGTAGAGACCATTCCTGTTCAATTGGTAAATAAATTTGGGGCAATCACTTTTTTTATTTTAAAAACGCAGAGAAAAATTTTGGTAAGAAGTGAGGGGAATGGTATTACGCTTCTTACTATACCAGACCTATACCAAATCATCTTTTATTCTGACAAGATCTGAAGAGTTTATCTACATTCTACCCCACCTTCAAACCACTACAAATGAATATTCCGGTAAAAAATGTAAAACACATGTAAAAATAAATAAATCTTCGTTATTAACACAGAAACGAAGAAATGAAATTGTCAAAGCAAAATAGAAAGATGGACTGAGAAACACAGAAACAAAAAGTGGTTACTTATCTAAATTAAGTTTTAATGCAACTTAAAAGGATTTAAAAAAAAAAAAAAAAAAAAAAAATGTACAAATCCAAATACAGGCAACTGTAAAAAAAAAAAAAAAGTTTGTCGAGTTATGAATCTCTACAATAAAACAACATTGTTTCGTTGAGTAGAAAAACTAGAAGTTACATTTTGGAAAACCCGGAGGTGAAAGTAAAAAAAAAAAAAAAAAAAAAAAAAAAAATGATGCAACTTTAATCGAAATTCTATGAAGTGAATTTAAAAAAGGCTTCTAAAATAATTTAAGTAAATGAAGTAAAATTTGTAAAATTTTAGATTTTTGTTTATGAACAAAAAATGAACTTTGTCTACTGTTTTTAAAAAAAAACAACCGAAGGGGGGGGGGGAAAGAACTATAGAAAAAAAAGGAACTAACATTTCTAATGGACGATTAAGAAATTTAAAAATAAATAAGTAAAATTGCGATTATTATTACCATTTCCAAGGTAATAGCTAAATAATAGTAAACTAGTCTTTAAAACAGACTAATGAACTATGCGAAATTAAAACAGTTTAAAAATGACTTACCTTTTCAGCTGATGGTAGTGGTAATCCACTACAAGGATTAGTAGCAGGCCTTCGAAAAATAAGATATTCGAATAGATATTATTATAAAGAAATCCTGGAGATACTCCAAGTCTAGTCCACATTCCGAAAATGAACTGGGTATACCAAAATTATTAATAATTGAGAGTTTAAAAATAATTGGTATAATTTAAAAAAAAACAAAAAAACGTGAAGGTAGTATTTGTGATTAATTCATAGGAAAACAAACGTTGAAGAAGAAAAAAAAAGTAATCTATTTCTTTCCTTTCTGCCTTAATAAAACAAATATTGATAGCGGTAGAAAAAAAAAAGCAGCAGACTCTGAGTCGGTTGTGTCAAATGACTGAGTAAGAAGCACGGACGTGGAGTTTCCCCTTACCAAGAAAAGTGATTGGCTGGGCAAAATGATCACTTAGTGACTTCACATGGACCGGCCAATAAATAAGCAACTCTAAAACCTATCTGACTTATTATGATTATTTTATATTTATTCTTTTAATAAGTATTTTTGATAATTACTAATATCTGTAGCTGCGAAAACATTCATTAAAAATATATCTGGTTTAAGCACTTTGTTAATACTTTTTTTCTGCAGTGTAGTAATTTTTCTTACTGTTATTACTACTACTACTACTGCTGCTGCTGCTGCTAAAAGCTGAAAAATCAGTCAATTTATTTAGAAGTACAAACAAATAATTGCAATTAGTGATAAACATTCGATTCCTATGGCCGGGTCGGAGAAACCTACCTTTTCTTTGCGCATAAATAAATGAAGCAAAAAAAATGAGGTTTTCGTTTAAAAAATACACTAATTAATTATTATTTTTTTTTACAAGCTTAATTTTCGCAAAAGACTACGATTATAGAACACACAGTGAGGATCGAACTCATTTATAATCTGCGAAACAAACTTCCTAACCATAATTAATCCACAAGAAAGCGCGCAAAAATCAGTGACACATTTTTTTTAATTTAATAATCAGCACACTAAGTAATAATTTTTAAACAAGAAAAATTAAACAATAAAATTTAAAAAATACAAAACATATAGCTAAACCCGAAAACAAAAAAGAAAAAAGAAGCTGTCTGCACTAGCATTTTTACATTACACTACAAAACAATCGGGTTAGTGATGCTCGTTTTTACCAACCTCAAAAAAAGAAGAATAAAAAATGCAGAAAAGCTGATGTTTCAAACCACGGTAACTTTTTTCTTCTCCTGAATTCAGTGGTCTACAATCATATGCTTGTAAAAGATCCGTGATACCAGCAATGTTGATATGCGCTACAAGTTTAAAACAGCATCTTCTTAGGACCGTAACTCAATTCTTAGCAGCCAAGAGTGAAATTATCGTTCGAACGAAAATTTCGACCAATCTCTGCCTTTAACTTTTTCATGACCTCTTGACCTCTTCCCTACCCCAGGAAAAGGGTGGAAAACAAAAAATAGGGTAGAGAAGATGTGGATGGATGACAATCCGGGTCGAGAGGGAAACCTAAAGGGAGAAATGAAAGAACTCCCCGCCCGCCTCTGACCCGAGAGAAAATGAAGAGAGAGAGAGAGAGAGAGAGAGAGAGAGTTGATGCAAAAAAAAAAAAAAAAAAAAATCCAAAAACGTGGTGGGAGATGAAAAAAATAGAGATTCCGACTTTAAAAATTTAATTAAAACAAGTCCACGCACACCTGTGAGTGAGTGAGAGTCTCCTGTCCATTTCCGACGGTATCGTACTGAAGACTAAAAGTAGAAGATATCAACGACGCATATTTGAAAGAGAAAAAAAAAGGTGAAATAATTGCAATCAGTGCCGCATATATAACTAATTAATAGGGGGGAAATAAAAATATTAAAATATCATCATTTATTTCTCCGATCTTGTTTTTTCTTATCATATGCAACCTTTTTTTTTATACAAACCTTGATTTTCAAAAGAACACGGTAAACACCCATTAAATAAAAAGCCATACTCTTTCCTTCATGATGTGATGTGTCTCTCTCTACAGATTCCTTTTAGTTTTTTTCTTTATTATGCATGAATGATTTATTACTTCTTGGAAAATGTAGTGCTTTCGCGTTGGCATCTCTAAGACTGGTTGCCACACAAGGCTTGAGAGCCCAGTCTACCGTGCTATTTAACTCCTAGCTAGGTGGATTCATGCCTTTTCCGAGGACATTCGAAAGATTTCCTAGAATAATAACTGAACATATTGCAAAGATTTTCCTTTGCTAATAATATATAAACCTAATTTTACAACAACTTTTCGAAGTGATGCACACGTGTCCAAAAATTTTTCAGTCTCAAAAGATTCAAATGTTTTTTTTTTTTTTTTGTTTTTTTCGTAATTATCATTTTAAAACGTAAAAAACTAATTTGACAACCACTTAAAATTAAAGATTCAATTATGGATTATGTAAGAAAACATTTTTTTCTTTCTAAGCAGATGCTCTAAAATTCTAAATTCACAAGTTTTAAAGTTGAAAAACTTTTCCTGCTTTTTTTGTAGATTGTCACAGTCATCGCCAGCTGACGGGGATAGTCATGAAGAAAAAAAAATCTTATTAAAGCTGAAGTAATAATTTTCAATAATGTCCTCTTAATTTTGTTTTAAACATGATTCAGTGACAATTAAGAAGCCCCAAGAAAATTAAAAAAGTAATGAAACTTTTTAGTCGTTCACAAAAATGTCCAGTGGTAGGAGAAGAGAAGGAGATCGAGTACTTATACACTTAGTGTGAGGATTGCCCATTCATTTTCATTTTTCAATGTTAAAAACAACTCTTAGTTTTGGTGCAATAGTATAGAACACACACTGTATCATGTGAAAAGCCAACCACGGCTCTCCGCGGCTTCTTACGTTTTACTTTTGTTGATCTAAGAAATATTAATTAGCACTTTTACTTTTATGATATCTTTTTGTCTTTGCAGTCTTTATCCTCTGTTGACATTGGACGTTCGAAAAATAAAAAGAAGAGAGAATAGAAGCGAATAATACAGGATTTCACTTTTTCCAGCGATTGTATTGTTTTGTAACTTTCTTAGTGGATTCGACATTTAGTGGTGTCAGTGGTCAGTATTTCGAGCCCTGGTAAAGCCAGGATTTCGAATTAAATCAGTTTTGTTTACAAAAAAAAAAAAGCACAAAAAAAAAAAAAAAAAAGGCAAATCTTCACATTTTGGAGGTTTGGCGCAGTAAAATCTTCCTCTTCCTTGCGAATTTACCATACTAAGCTTAGTTTTTACAGAAAAATCGACAGACATTTTTTTTTAGAAATAGTTCCCCCCCACACACCGAAACTGCAATAAATGAGTTTCTAGACTTTTTAGAACTGAATCGATATTTCGATTACTAAAAACAACTTTACTTCAACTGTGAGACATTCATTAGTCACTTGATATTAAACTACAATTCTTATTCCAGCAATTAAACGAATTTTTTTGTAAAAACAAAATTAAAGAGTAAAAAAAAATACTACAAAATGGACGTTGCCATGTGCAAGAATGAAAGAAGAGAAAAATAGGCTTAGAGAACGAATATTTGTGTAGCTGTAGTACTTTGTAAATGTAACGGAGTAATAATAGTTGTTTTTTCTTTGATGAGGAATTGAATACAAGTCAAATTTCATGCTACTAATCAACAGCATAAATCGAAACTCGGAAAAAAGAAGCTATTTTTAAAAATGCGTTTGCGAGAGATGTGTGTGTGTGTGTGTGTGTGTGTGAGTGAATCGGGCACCTGACGTAGAGTAATGGTTACTCTCACACACGATTGACAACAGAGTAAGTTGAGTCTAGTAAGTTTGTAACTTTGGGGAGTGATGTGGGTCCTATTTGGAATAATCTCATATTTTGGTATTTTGAATATGTGATCCCAAGTAATTTTTAAATTAGTTTTCAAAATAGCTAAAATATCCCCATTTAGAAGACTGGCGTAACACAACCCTTCGACCTTACCCCCCCCATTCAGTAAAAATAAAAGATGCATCTATTGTAGCGCGGTCGCATTCGCTAATAATGGGTGGCCTTTCCCAATTAGCGTATGCTTTTAGTTTTCTTTTAGACGTTTACCACAGGTTAGTGTCCTTTTTTTACCAAGCTAAAAGATCAGTTACTGACAGTAACTATGAAATAGAAAAAAATGGAGATGACAGTAAAAGAAAGAGTTTAAAAGAAAATTAGGAAGATGTCGGTAAGAAATAATTTAATGATAATCCATGCATTGTTTGTGCTCACTGTTTGTAAATACTGAACTAAAGAAAGCGGATATTTAATTAGTCTAAAAAAAAAGGTGACTGTTAGCTGACACGACAAAAAAAAATTAAAGTAACTGAGAGAGAAATAAAGAAAAAAATGTTGTTGGTATAGAAAAGAAGCGTACTTATGAATACTGTGTATAACACTGTCCAGAAAGTGAGGCATACACACACACACTTGTAGCATAAAAAAGCAATTACCCATAAACAATACATCGAACACATCAGTTTAAAGACAGACATTTTAAGGCAGAAATTGTTGAATGAAAACATTATGGTAGCATACAAGTATAATTCACAGCATCCCTATTTTTTTCCTGAAAAACGATTAAAAAAAAAAAGAAGATATTTGCAATGTGAAGCTGGTCAAACTCAGCTAACTTGCATTATATACCCAACTCAACATTGAATGAAACTATTTTTTGTAGGTCAGTAGTACGGAATACTGCGTTTTGATTGGTCCATTATCTAACCAATCAGGAAGCAGCCTTAGCTCACTCAAGCAGGATGTAACTACAGTACAAGGATGTCAACACACTCTTCACCTTATAACGTAATAAGGAAGCTAATAAAGTATGGAAGCACGAACATGTTGTTAATGTTTAAAGCATGTGTGTGTGTGTATGTGTGATCCGTGTTCCATTCACATCCATTTTTGCGTATGTATGAAGAGTTGGATTTCAACATGTAGACATTTCACTAAGTCAATGAAAAAAGCTAAAAATGTGAGAAGATAATTATAAAAGGCATTTTTTTTATTGCATTAATGATAACGTCAGAGTAGATAAATAAAAATAAGCAAAAATGAAATTAAAATAAAAAAATGTTCAAAATAAACATTATTACCTTGAGTTGAATGATAAATATACTGTTACCTGGTAATCATTTTTCCCTACAAGGTGCATATTCTGAACTCTGCATCCGACAATGACCGTTGTGAAACTGTATGGTAAAAAAAAATGGCGTCCGTATACAATCATCTGTTTCTTCATCTCTCAAATATCAGACTCTGTCTCCCACGCAAAGTATCAGTTCACTAATGAAAACAGCAATAATAACGAAACGTAGAAAGCCAAAAATAATCGTTTCAACGAAAGCCAATATCATTGACAGAATGCATTAAATTGCGTAAAATATAATGGATTTTTAGACCTAGTTCTACTACAACGTAAGACCTGTTAATTTTCCAGCTTTCTTCGGGTGGCATTTTGGTTCTTATCTAAATACCAACCGGATAACATTTAAGCTAACCCCCCAAAAATATCGTTAAAAGTCTCAAGCAAAAAAAAATCCAGACTGCATATTTTTGTTATACTTTTCGAAAAGAATATTGCCAGCTTATGGATTCGTTAGATTAATGAACTCAATACGAAATGATTAATTGTATAACTTCCATTGTTGGAAAACAAAACAGTGGCATAGCTAGTGTTTTTGCCACCCGGGGCGGCCCTCAAGTTTGATAAAAAAAAAAAAAACAAATTAAAAAAAAAAAAAAAAACAAACAAACAATTGGTTCACTTATTTATTTAAGAATCAAAGAATGGACGCCAAAATCTAAACTTCTCACATAAGTGTGAATAAACTGTGGATTCATTAAATTCACTTAATATCGGATTAAGTGAATTTAGTGAATCCACATCAAGCTTTTTAAAAATGTTCAATTATTTTTCACACCTTTTGATCATGTCTTGTAAATGGAGTTTATCTCCACCAACTGACAGCACGCTTTGGAGAGAATTCTTTTTTATTGCTGGCTTTGAGCCATCCATATCCAAGACAACTTGGCTTCATTTGAACTCTTCTTTCTGATCGCTGCCTTTTTTTTGCAAAAATTATTGAAATTATGATATTATTTTTTCTTTTCTGAAAAATCACCGCGGACCAAAAGTGCCCCCCCCCTAGCAATGCCACTGGAACAAAAAAACTCATTCTCGTATTAAATGTGGAACATTTTAGTAACACTTAAAGTCCATTTCATTGCAGAAGAATACTGTAGAATTTTTAAAAGATTTTTTTTCTAGACAGGAATTGCATGCAATCATTTAATTATAAGCAACAGTAAATCACAGCCGGAGCATATTCTCGAATTATTTCAGAAGACGAACATTATTATAAAAGTTAAAAATAGCTTCGCTATATTTATGAGAATAAAGTTGTAATATTATCTTGATGTCTATTTCTTTTTATTAAAGTAAGCAGTGTATTAGTTGTGGCGATCTGTGTGAGTGTGTGTAGATCAACGGTTATCAGTGTTGCATCTGGAATAAGCGAGTCGAGTTCAAATTGTGGCATTTATTTCACACTCTTATGAAAGGCTACAATATATATATATATATCTTTTCTCTTCCACTATGGGTTAAATAGTAAGGTAGACTTGGCTCTCTAGCCTTGGGCGACAATCCTTCTGGGACAAGGTCTACTCTGAATTCAAAGGCAATGGGAAACTCGATTTCTATTTTCACG